GAGACAGGGGAGGAGACAATTATAGAGGAGGAGACAGGGACAATTATAGGGGAGGAGACAGAGATAATTATAGGGGAGGAGACAGAGATAGGGACAATTATAGAGGAGGAGATAGAGGAGGAGGAGGAGGAGACAGAGGAGGAGGAGGAGAGAGAGGAGGAGACAGGATAATAATAGGAGATAGGGGAGGAGAAAAAGGAGGAGACATAAAAAGGAGACACTTATTTTCTTCATGGGGTCTACGTCTTGAGGGTCTCCCTCATGATATAACAAAAGGAGACATATTAGATTGGATGAGGGATGCAGGGTTTAGACTACAAGCAGAGCAGGTGCTGCTGCCTCCGCAGCAGCAGCAGCAGCAGCAGCAGCAGCAGCAACAACAGCAGCAGCAGCAGAAGCAGAAGCAGCAGCAGAAGGAGGAAGGAGAGGAAGAGGGAGAGGAAGGAGAGGAAGAAGAAAAGGACAAAGAGCAGCAAGAACAACCAACAAAACAAATAGACGTAGATAATGATGACGAAGAGCAGCAGCAGCAGCAGCAGCAGCAGCAGAAGCGTCAGCAAGAAGAAGATGATCAACAAGATCAGCAGCAGCAGCAGCAGCAGCAGCAGCAGCAATTTGCATGCATAGTGCTGCACTCTAGGGAGGCAGCAGAAGGGGCCCAATTTCGTCTCCATCGTCGTCCCTTCTTTGGTCATCGTATAGATGTATTCGTGCTGCACCCTAACGATCCTCATCCTATTAGCAGCAGCAGCAGCAGCAGCAGCAGCAGCAGCAGCAGCAGCAGTGGGCCAGGGGGAGGAGGGAGACTATCTAGAAGTTTGTCTCCAAGACATCCAACTAATCAATATAATAATAATTATTCATGGAGAGACAGAGGAGGAGACAGGGGAGGAGACAGGGGAGGAGACAGAGGAGGAGACAGGGGAGGAGACAGGGGAGGAGACAGGGGAGGAGACAGAGGAGGAGACAGGTATAGGAGACGACCATTTAGGGATAATGTATCTCGTTCCTTATCTTCTTCCCCTATAATAAGAAGAGGAGGAGACAGGGGAGGAGACAGAGGAGGAGACAGGGGAGGAGACAGGGGAGGACATATGAATAAAGTGTCTCCTTCTCGGTCTCCTCCTCATCCTCCTCATCATCATCATCCTCCTCCTTATAGGAGATGGAGAGACAGAGGAGGAGGAGGAGACAGAGGAGGAGGAGGAGACAGGGGAGGAGGAGGAGGAGACAGGGATAGAGGAGACAGAGGGAGACACTGGAGAGGGGGACCAAGGAGGGTAAGTTATCTTATACCCTCCCTCTATATTGCTGCTGTTGCTGCTGCTGCACTTGTTACTGCTTTTGCTGCTGCTGCTGCACTTGTTGCTGCTTTTGCTGCATATGTTGTTGCTGCTGCTGCTGCTGCTGTGTGGGGTGTATAGGGACCAATGCGTCGTGGGAGTCGATCCCGATCCCGATCCCGATCCCGATCCCGATCTCGCTCCCCTCAATCCTCTCGTTCCTTAACACCTCTAGATAGGGGGGCCCCCCGTCGTCGTTATGGTGTTGCTGCAGGTAGAGGGGGGCCCCCCGATCCCCGCATGCAGCAGCTGCATAAGGAGGGACGATGCAGGGCCTGTCCCCAAGTAGCAAGGGGACAGGAATGCTTCGAGGGTGTCTCCTGTCTCCTTTGTCATCATGCTGAGCATGACCCTATGTTCTATAGACCTAATACTGTATGCTGCTGCTGTTGCTGCTGCTGCTGTTGCTGTTGTTGCTGCTGTTGCTGTTGCTGCTAGCTACTGGTTTGTTGCTGCTGTCTCCTTTGTATCCTTGCCCTTTTTGTCTCCTAACTATATGTATATACCTTTATACTCTTGCTGCTGCTGCTGCTGCTGTTGTTGTTTGTGCTGCAGCAAGTGGCACAACTAGAGGAGGAATTAGCGAGCCCAGCAACAGCAGCAGCAGCAGCAGCAGCAGGGACAGCACAGGAGAAAGAATCAGCAGATGCAGCAACAGCAACATCAACAGCAGCAGGTGAAGGTGGCAACAACAGCCCAACTGCTGCTGCAGCTGCTGCTTCTTCTTCCCAGTCTAAGGATGAGAAGAAGCAAGAGCAGCAGCAGCAGCAGCAGCAGCAATCTGATGGTTCTGCTGCTGCTGCTGGATCTGGTGAATCCCAAGACAAGGATCAGAAAACCGACACAACAGCAGCAGCAGCAGCAACAACAACAACAACAGCAGCAACAACAACAACAGCAGCAGCAACAACAACAACAGCAGCAACAGGAGAGTCTCCTAGTATACAGCAGCAAGTAGCAAGACAGCATGCAGCAGGTACCTGTCTCCCTTGTACAGATCATATAAATAATTGCTGCAGCAAAGGCAGCAGCTGCTCCTTCTGTCATGATCCAACGCATGCAACAGATAGTGCAGCACAAAAACAAGCAGCAAATAATAAAAAAGAAAAGGTAAGTAACCCTCTCCCCCACCACCACCACCACCACCACCACCACCT